TAACTTTTTTGTTCTGAGCTAGCATTAAATGACACTAAATGCTTAATGTTCAGAAACAAAAAAAGTGATAAGAGATAAGACATATATGCTTCATACACAATCTACTATATTCTTTGCAGATAGCCCACTCTACACGCATCCATATGCTTCATTTAAAAATCAGAATTGGACGTTAGAGACAAAAAAATATATTCACGAAATTTTCTTCACTTGAGAAGCGATGTCTAAAAAGAAGTACAACCTACTTTAAGCAAAGTACTGAAAATGCTAGCTTGCTATAACAGGTTGACTTTAACGAACGACTATAGTACACGAAGAAAGAGAAGACACAAGAATCAAGGCCAAGAGCTGGCCTATAAATAAAAGATCATTCAAATGAAGAATCCAGAGAATAACATACAACAAAAATATTCATCCTAAGAAAAACGATCAAAAGAAAAGTACATAAAAGCTCAAGAAAAAGAAAATATATGAGTAAAAGAAAAGAAAAGAAGTCACGCAGTACTTTCGAGCTTCATTGTAATATTTGCTTACTATTGTAAGAAAGAGAGAAAGAGAAAACAGAGAAACACATGCAAGTGTTTAGACTACATTATATTGTAATCACATCCTCTCTGAGAGAGTAATAGTTTGAACGACTTGTAAAAAATAGTTGATTGCAATTTTGAAGAGAATTAAAACAATAGTTGAACTTTGTGGAGTTAAGGAAATCTAAACAAGGTTGTCTAGTACCAGGAGTGGTGCAAGTACTCATCCAGTCTAGTATAATAAGAGGTTATTTGTTGGCTAAGAAGACCAGGAGTGGTGCGAATTCTCATCTAGTGTAGGGTAAGAGGAGGTTATTTGTTGACTGAGAAGATCAAGAGTGTGAATACTCAGTTTTAATCTTGTTGAAGATTATAGTGGAACCCTCTGCAGAGGAGACTTGACGTAACTCAGTTGGAGTGAACCAGTATAAAAATACTTGTGCAATTGTTGTTTACTTTTTTGCTTAAACATTTTTCTTATAAAACCTACAACTGCATTTTTTTCATACACATGTAACTTCCGCACTAAATGATTCTTATTCAATTGAGGAAGTTCTTATAAACACTCGCATTGTACGTTTTGAATAACACGCAAAAAATAATTATCATTCAAAACCATTTACAAGGTCGAGCGTTTAAGTATTCATTTGATAAATCTGAAACTCGACAAATGTGCTATATGAGATGGGTTGCGAAAATAATATTTCCACTAACACTATTCAACCCCCTATAGTGTTTTTTAGGTACTTTAAATCAAAGCAGGATCACTAGCTTTCCTTACCTTAACAGAACTCTACCAAGATTTAGACATGCATGACTTTTGCTTCAAGCTCAAGAAACTCTATAAACGCATTCAAACCATCGAATTGTGATCGAAATGAATCCTTAGAATCTCAAATTAACAAGAAACTAGGAAAGAGATATAATGACACATGCGAGAAACTTAGTCGCATATGCCTTAAATTATGAATTAAAGAAAAAGAAGTTGAAACTTACTTGCTCTTCATGGAAAACTCATCGGATGATGATGGAAAATACACAATTGTGATCTTCTCTTCCTGGTCATCAAACAGATGATCAGACATAAGAAATTATAGAATGAATGGAAAAGAAATTAAGAGAAAGAGTTCTAGAGATTATGAGTGTTTTAGATAAGAGACAAATTTATGAAATTCTATTTATATTATTAAATTATTTTAACTTTAAAATACTCGATCTCATTATTTTAAAACACCTATAAACTCTAATACTATATTTTCTAGGTTTTTACAATATTTAAAAATGTTTTAAAAAAATAAAAAAAAAGTATTTAAATGATTTAACTTCAATTTTTTTAAGTAATATATAATTATTAGACTTACCAAATAAGTCTCCAAATTATGTTTTAAATTCATCTTTTTAATTATTTTTTTTCCTCTCTCAAATTATGTTGGAGAAATTATTTTAGTGAAATCTAGTAAATGTTTCTTCATCTCTTATTATCAATATACTATATGATTAGTTAATGTAAATATATGATGTTATTTTATGTTTTAATCTCAGTAATTCACTTTATACGAAAAAGTTAATTAATATATAGGTTTAATAGGTTCGGAGGTCCCTATATTTGCGGGTTCGTTTCAGTTGGGTCCTCCAATTTTTAAAGTGATCAATTGGGTCCCTAATTTGGTAAATGTGATTCAATAATAGGATCTCCGTTAAATGCAGTTAACGTACGTTAACTTTGTTATGAAGTGGAAGCTGAGGCATCCAGGTGGCAATCTTTTGAGCTGTATAGCTGTATATTGTGGCTGCAAGACAACGTCACAGAGAGAGAAGGGAAGGAAGAGTGGGTGTTGGTGGTTGTCTTCCTCATGGCAACCCTTTCCTCCATCATCTCCCTTTCTTATCTTCCTCCTCTCCGTCGCCACCCTTCTCTTTCACCCTTTCCTCACTCTCTTTCTCTATCATTCTCTCGCACAAAACCTCGTTCTCCCTTTCTCCTTATTGCTTCTTCTGCCCATTCTTCCGATGATTTCACCTCCAAATCCAAGGTACCCTTTTTCCATTCCTTTATTCCCTATAAATATTTCTCTTCTTGCTATTCTTCGCATAGCTTCTCTTGATGTGGCTATTAATTTTCCTCCCCTCTATTGGAGTGTGTATTTGATTACAGAGTTCAATTTTTAAATAATTTCTTTTTAACTTCCTGGCGTGAACTCTTTCACACAAGCCCTTTAGGTGCTGTGAAAAATAATTATAGTGGAAAAAGATCCTTTCTTTTCGATAATCGAGTGTAACCTTTTTACCTCGTGTCATTTCATCCGAGATATCTATATGTATTGCTAAGCTTTTGACGTACACGCTGTAAATTGCTTTGGGATGTTTGGCAAGTAAAATAACGAATTTGACTATCGAGTGTTGTACTTATAGAAATCAGTGCTCACTGAGGCGATACAAGAGATAGAACCGCTGGATGTTAGCCACATCCAGAAAGATGTTCCACCAGCAACAGCGGCTGCCATGAAAAGGATTATATCTGGAATGCTGGGCCTGCTTCCATCTGATCAATTTCACGTTGTCATTGAGGCTTTGTGGGAACCCCTCTCCAAGTTGCTGATTTCTTCAATGACGACTGGGTATGTTCAATTATATATGTTCTGAATAATATAAAAATGTTATAAATCAACCTATACAGCTCAAAAGATTGCCACCTGAATGCCTCAGCTTCCACTTCATAACAAAGTTAACGTACGTTAACTGCATTTAACGGAGATCCTATTATTGAATCACATTTACCAAATTAGGGACCCAATTGATCACTTTAAAAATTGGAGGACCCAACTGAAACGAACCCGCAAATATAGGGACCTCCGAACCTATTAAACCTTTTGGTAATCCATTTACTTGCCACACAAATCAAATAGCTTTCAATCCACTAGTATAAAGCTTTTATCCGACTATATTTCTGACACTAATTTGAAATGCAACAACAACCCTAATCAAACCTTCAATAAAATTTTCTATATAATAAATAGTGAGTCTCCAACACTCATATTGACTCCAACACTTGTTTGATATCTGAGGGCACAATCATGCCTCTATGACTGAAATTATAATGTATTTTCTTTTCAAGTGCACCTCCTATATCCATATGGGTGTAACCACAAGTCATTTTTTATAAGTAAGATGAGTTAGAAAAAAGTTGGTAAAAATTTGACTACACAAGTCGTGATTTTCTTTATTATTAAACTTTACGTATGCAATGTTTATATTTTTTAATATGTTGGTGTTTAACTTTATTCATATAAAATATCTATAAATAAATAAATAAAATTATACTGATACATAAGATAAAATACAATTAAGTAATTTCATATTGACAAGTTAATTTAAAAGAAAAACTATATTAATTCACCTTAGTATATTACAACATATATTTTTTCTTATGATTATATTTTCTTATATTTGAAAGAAAAGGTGTGTCTAACAACATATATAATTGTCTATTATTTTTGTTTTTTTTAGCAGTGAGCATTTCTATTTTTTTTTTCTTGAAGATTTTCTATTGTATCTCGAGAATTGTTGGCCTAGCTTTGTGCCTTGAACACTTTTAGTAAGACAATGTGTTTTAAACACCTTTTAACTTGATTTGACACTTAAAACATTTTTACCCTGACTTTCTATCATGAACATTTTTCTGTCGGCTTCACAAATTAAATGTTTCTAGCTTGATTTCACATCTTAAATGTTTCTACTCAGCTTCATATTTTGAATTCTTAAATGTTCGTAGATCAACTTCACATTTTGAATTTTTTTTAGTTCAAGTTTATAAAGAAGCCTAAAAGCTCTTAACAAACACTAAAAAAGTTGTCTTATAAACAAACTAGAATGAATACTTTTCACCAAACTCATCATGAATACTTTTCACCAAATATTATACTCAACTTTTATATATATTAGAAAAACTTAATAAACCTTAGATTGAATATTAACCATCGTACTTTAATTTATATAAATATTATTATTTCATTCATTATAAATAAACATTAAACAATACACAATAAACTATCACTAAACATTATGTTCATTTCTTTATCTTTGGTGTCGGTGATAAACGTGGCTTTTGTGTTCTTGAATGTGATCACTTTAATGTTGCAACCAAAGTTATAATTGAATATAAATCATTAATAAATATGGTGTTCATAAATATTTGTAGAGGAAGAGGTTTACGACACAATTAGCTAACTATAGGTCTTGTTCTTTTGAGTTGATTTGAGGGACTGGATTTGAGGAGATTTGAAGATAAATTTTTTTATCGTTTATTTGAGTGAATTTGGAGGTAAATGAGAGTGAATTTGGAAATAATTTTTTTTAATTTGTCATGTCAATACAATTCTATGCTAATTCTCACAAATTTTATTTCTAAATTCACTCTCATTTATCTCCAAATTCACTCAAATAAACGACAAAAAAAATTGTCTTCAAATCCTCTCAAATTCACTCCCTCAAATCCACTCAAAAGAACATGCCCTTAGAGATTGATAATATTCTCCTGATTTAGGTTTAGGGTATATATAATGTACTTCACAAAAGCATGCTCTCCTTGTCTTTTAACTCACATGCAACAGCTGAAAATTGATGGAGAAGTTATATACAGTAGATGCAATGAGTGGTTGGGAAATTAATTTTGTATTATTGGTTTCACATGTGCATTGCCTTGTGTTTTTGAAGATTATTTTTCATCACTGTTTAGACGCTTTTGCAGGTTTCACCACATTTCACATTATACATATTTGAAGTGTTCATAATGTTATAGAACTTAATTTTTTTAATTTTTTTTCCAATTTCACGACAAATCAAATGTAGTTTTAATTTTTATATATTTATTTTACTAACTTCATCAATTTAAAACGATACGTTAAAAATTAATAGAACAACGTTGAAAAAAATATCAAAATTTTAAATTTTAATGACATAAAAATAAAATTTATTAATATAAAATTTATTATTTTATTTTAAATAAGAAAAAGTTTAAAAAATACTAAACAACTCTTAAATTTCCATAAGATTAAGATGATCGATTGGTTATTTTAAGAGAAAAATTAAAATACCAATAAATAAAAACTGATCTCTCGTCTTATTATTTATAATTTATTATTTATTATTTTTTAACTTGTTAATAATTAATTTTAACTTAATTATACCGATTTTATTTTCTGTTTTATATTTTTTTTTGTGAGAAACATTATTTTCATTAATGTAAAACCTATTCTATGGAAGGAGTTACTTCTCTGACTCTGAATTAAAAACACTTGTTCCTATATACCACCTGAAAACTAATATAAGAGAATAACTCCTAAATTATCCTAAATTTGAATAGTGAAAGTTAACATTCAAACATCAGAAATTGTGAATACGTTTTATTCATTATTAGAAGAAAAAAAATGAAGAAAATATAGGGATTTTTCTTCCCTTAAAGATGGTCTAATTCACAAAAGCAGACTAGACTGGCAGTTTACAAAAGAAATGCCGACTAATTTATTTTATCGACCTCCTATAATTAATTACACTATATTATACTAAAAATATTGAATTATTTAGATTAAAAACTGAATAGTATCTTTTTACAGTTTAGTTTTAGAAAAATTAAATATACTCAGTTACCTACTCGTTAACTTAAAATTATTTTGTTTCATAATATAATGTTGTTTAGTTTCATTAAAGTTTATTTGATGAAATTTTAGTTTGAGTTGACTCGACTGAATTTAATTTATTTTCAATCCGTGTTGATTTGATTGAATTTGATTGATTTTTGTCGTAGCCAACTCAACTTAATTTCGGTTAAAAAAATTTGATTAAGTTTTGGTCTTGGTTGACTTTATCGAATTCAAAAAAATTTCAATCAAAGCTTACTTGGTTGAATTCAATCAAATTTTGATCAAGAATGACTCTATCGAGTTTTGACGATGGTTATCCCAATTGAATTCAGCCAATTTTTTTTATCGGGGTTGACTCAACCAAATTTTTGTTGGGACTGACTCGACTGAGTTTCGGTTGTGGCTATTTGGACGAAATTCGATCAATTTTTAGTCGTGGTTGAGTTAGACGACTTTCATCAAGATCGACTCAACTGAGTTTAGACTGTGACCAACTCGGTCGTATTAAGCCAAATTTTAGTCGAGACCGACTCTACCAAGTTTTGGTTGTGATCTTCTTATAGTCGAATTCGTCTAATTTTCGGTTGAGGACGACTTAGTCAAATTTTGGTTAGAACTGACTTAAACAAGTTTTGGACGTGGTGGTCCCTGCCGACTTTCTACTTAGGTTATTATGACCAAATTTTAGTGATGACTGACTCAACTAAGTTTTGACCATAGACATTCCAACATAATTCGACAGAAGTTCAACCTAAGGTCGTCCCAACATTTTTGCAGATTGGGCCCGTCTCAACCTTTGGCCCGACTTAGATTGTCCCAACCAATGGCCCAACATAGCTTATCTCAATCTTTGACTTGACCTGACTTGTCTCGAACTTTGACCCATGTTAGCCTATCTCAACCTTCAGTCATGTTTAATTTATCTCAACCTTAGGTCGAGTATGACCCATCTTGACAGTTGATCTCACCTAACCTATCTTAACCTTTGGCATGACCCATATCAAATTTGGGTAAGGTTGATTTTTCTCGATCCTTGATTCAACCCAATATGTCTCAATCTTTAGCCTATTTCGGCTTATCTCAAAGTTGTGTTGTGTGTCAAAGTAGAAAACAAATTTTAACTTAGTTTAGTACATTGCAGTTTGTAAAACAAAAAAATAACTAAACTTATTTGAACTAATTTTCAATTAAGTTCAAGTAAACTAGTTTTTAGTTCAATACAACTTTTAACCGTGAAATTCAATATAATTCATTTTGTTCACCTTTATTTGTGAGTTTAACAATTTTTTTCAAAAATTGTAAAAAGCTTACTTTTATTTAATTAAATTAGTTGAAATAATAAATTTTTAAACATTATTTATTAAAATAAGTAAGATTCACTATATTAAATGAATCTATACAATATTCCTTATCAATCTTTAAAGTAAAAATAAAAATAAAATTTAATAATAACAAAACTTAAATCAAATCAAGCTAAAAAAATTTAATATCACTTAATAATAAATTTATGGTTTTTCTTAGGTCTATCTTCCTTACCCACTTATATAATGTTTGTGGGTCACATCTGATTATTGTTTGGTTTGCTTTGGAAACTTCCTTTACAACAATGATTTTGTTTTCTGTTCAGACCCCTTTTATGCATTTAATTGTAAAAAGTTATTTTCTATTTAATGACATCTTTCTTCTTTTGCATATTTTCTTAGCTATAACAACGAACAAACACGTCACCAGAAGTAGTTAGTACTATTCTACAAAAACAACCTTAATTAAATATTTTGTATGCGTGTGTAAAAGCTGACTTGTCAACTTGTTATTGGCTAAGACGCGTGGAAGAGTGCTGGCTCAACCATGAATTCCAACACACACTACCGATTTTCCTTATCAGCAGACTGCTTTCAATGTTTGGTTTTTCATATGGGAGCAATGTGAAGATACATTTTTCTTTTATTTATATATAAAAGTAATTTTAGAAATTTATAAAAAGTAAACTCGAGTTTAACTATT